TAAGTACGAAAAAGGTTAGGTTAGTACGTGAGGTTTAGTTACGTAGTAACCGAACTACCCTACTCTTTATTTCTACTACACTAAATTTACTCTACTCTCTACTCTCTCTCTCTCTCTAAAGTAAGGCTCTCCTCTCCTCTCCTCTCCCTCCTTGCAAAGAAAGAGATAAATCTTCTCTCTCTCTAAAGTAAGGCTCTCCTCTCCTCTCCTCTCCCTCCTTCCAAAGAAAGAGATAAATCTTCTCTCTCCCTCTCTCTCTCAAAAGTAAGGCTCTCCTCTCCTCTCCTCTCCCTCCTTGCAAAGAAAGAGATAAATCTTCTCTCTCTCTAAAGTAAGGCTCTCCTCTCCTCTCCTTGCAAAGAGATAAAAATACAATAAGTCACATTTTTCAAAAGAGAGAGAACATGTAGTTGAGGGAAATGCAAACTATGGCAGAGAGGTGAGGTAGAGAGAAACAAGACTGGATATTCCCATGGAAACCGCTTTCAGTGACAGAATATGACCTTAAGCTCCCTGGGCTCGACGCAGTTATGCGTGAGAGAAGGACTGTCATGTGCGTAGGTGAAGGTGGCGGGGCACTTGTGCTTAAAGAACTCAGAGTAGGTAGACCCATGGCATGTGTGGGGGCTGTTATACTGGTTCCGGCAGCACAGCTCATCCGTTCCGAAAGCCTCGCACCCGCTCTTGCACCCCACCACCTTCCCGTTGGCCGCACACAGCCTCAGCTGCGTGGGGCACGTCGCCAGTAAATCCTCCCTGCACCCCACCACAGGACACAAGCCCTTCCCCTCATGGGGAGTCACAGTCATGGGAACATTGAATCCATCGACCAGGGAAACAGAGTAGGATGACTGATCGTTGTGGCCGTGGTGGAGGGAGAATTGCGCGAGAGTCGCAGGGGCTCTGCCGCCCGCGCCGTTGCACTCGAGGCGGCCACAATCGCCTGTCTCACAATGGAAGCGGCCAGTAGAGTAGGTGCAGCCAGTGCGAGCCCAGATGCGGCCGGACCAGTGGGTATGAGGTGCGGCGAAGGATTTGTGCTGGAGGGTCTCGAGGGCGAAGCCGCCCTTCTCCGGGACGTAGTGACCGGCGTTCGGCTGGATGGCCGGCCAGATGGTGAAGGGGCAGTTGTTAACCAGGGTCAGGACGAGAGGGGAGGCGAGGGTGGTATACAGGAGGAGAGAGAGAACCAGGAGAGAGGAAGCGGTCGCCATTGGAGAAGCCATTGCTCTCTAGAGAGAGAAACTCAAGATGGACGAGAATGGCGAGCAGGTTAGAGTGAGTGAGAGAGAGGAATAGAGAGGTGAAGGCTCAGAAAGTGCAAGTGTTATTTATAGGGAAGTGTGACGCGTGCGTGTTCGGATGAGCTCGTGACGTGGCGATCCTCCATAGTTTTTTAACCTAATCCCAGTCGTTGTTCGACGATGGAAAAGGCCGCGGTTTTAGACATGATGACTAAAGTGCCCTTGAAAATGTTTATCAGTGACGAAAATAACCTTCACTTTTCTCCAATTATCTTTGGCGCGTACTTCTTCAAATTTCAAAATTTCGGTGATCGTTACCAGCTCTTTTTCTGCTTTCCACTCATGGGAAGCCGAATCCTGTCCCCCAACACGAAATTTCACTTGAATTCTATATTGAAAGTTTACCGAAATTTCGGTCCATGACGAAATTTGACGTGTTACTTAGAACTCCAAATGCTATTGTGAAACTCCATCGCAATAATTTCTGAAAGTCTGTCGTGGTGGCTCCCAAATCAGTCGAGCCCATTATCAAAACGGCAGAAGAACATGATTTGTGTAGTCGATAAGACTCGGATGAAGACTGGTATTTTGGAATTAGTGTTGACAATCTGGAACCTAGTGACTCGGCCAATTCGAGTTGATTCAACCGAGTCTTGTATAACCCAAAAATAGGCTTAAAAAATTATTATTACTTAAATAGGGAAAAAGTTTATATAAGGTTGCAACTTTAAAATGTAGAATTACATATACACCTCAAAAATCCATCGGAAAATGTTGTTTTCATGTTGAAAAACCCTTTAAGTAATCATCTCGGCATCGAGATGTAGGAATATGAAAAAAAAAAAGATTTTGAGTCACAAAAATAGTGCATCTTGCAACACATTATCTAGACCGTTCATTTTCAATATTTTCATATATTTATAGATCTACTTGATTTTATCAATTTTTGAAGTTTCAAATTTTATAATTAGATTTTAAGATAATCCTAAGAACTTTTTACACCAAAATTATATATTATGATCAAATTTGGAGATGCACCGTAATTGGATTGTTTATGGTTGCAACCTTATAGAAACCACATCCTTTAAATAGTTACAAATACGAGATAACATAAAAGAGGTAGTACAGGTCTAAAAGGATGGCAAAAACCATATAAAATATTGTTCGTAAATTTTTTGATTTGGATCGTGAATATTTTTAAAAGGAATTTTATGCTATGAGACATTTATCTTTAGTACAAGAAGGTCACAATTAATTATAACATTTAGATGTCCAATTGGATGGCTTGGGATATGTCACGAAGTTGAAGGAAAATTTTGTTAGGCTTTGAGTTTAGTCGCAAGTACACTTACAAACATTTGATTTGAAATTTGATGGATAAGACTGATTGCGACCTCTTTGTACCAAAAGTAAATGGTTTCTTTGCATACTTCTCATTTTTTAAAATTTTAAGAAAAGGGAAAAATAAAAAAGTCCTTGAATCATCTTAAAAACTATCAAAATCATTGAAAAAATTTAATTATGAGTAATATGTGATGTTTTTCTAATTTTCAACGTTTTTTTAGTATTTTTCCTTCTTAATAAGGGTGAGGTGAGTTCACATGGAACTAGCCCCTGCCCGGCCTCACCATAGAGCAACTCCTTATAACTCGTCGAAGTCCAATTGGGCTCGGGCGAGTCCCATACCACTACTTGGAACTTTTTAGAATCATTTTTTAATATATAAGTATGTAACGAATATACAAGTATGATAAAATATGAATAGTGCTTTATCTTTGCAAAGCTTTAGATGCGAATATTTTCCCCAAAGACAAGCATAAATATGTTAAAGATATGTATATAACGATTGAAACAAGGATGTTATAATCATTATTGACCATTACATTTGAAATTGGGTAGTTAAAAATGTGTCATGATTGTGTACAAAGTCCACAATAAATTTCTTCAAATTGGATTTCACATTCAATAGCTAAAACTGATTGGGATCTCTTTGTACAAAAAATAAACAGCCTCATAGTGTACAATTGATAATTGAAAATGTATACAATGAGACTATTTATTTTAGATACAAGAAAGTTACGGTCATCATTGACCATTAGATTTGAAGTTGGATAGTTGAGATGTGTCATAATTGGGTTCCACAATAATTTTTTTCATATAGTGTTACACAGTTTCAACTATTGGAATTCACGTTCAAAATCTCCTTGTACCAACAACAAGATACAATTGATAATTGGAAATGTATACAAGGAGATCATTTACTTTTGATACAAGAATACTACAATCATCATTGACCATTAGATTTGAAATTGGGTGATTGAGAATATGTTATGATTGGGCTCAAAGTTCACAATAAAAAATTTCAAATATTGTGACACACTTTCAACTATTAGAATTCACATTCAATAGCTAAAAATGATTATGATCTCTTTGTACCAACAATAAATTCCCTGATCATGCACAATCAATAATTAAAAATGTATACAGTGAGACCATTTACTTTTGATACATGAAAGTTTCAATCATCATTTAAAATCGATAATTAGTCTAAAATCCCTATTATGTCACGTGTACCTCCATTTCGAGCATTACCAAGAGAGCTTTCGTTTCATTTAAGAATAATTGTTTCATGCGGGCTGGACCGCATTTGTACAGTACGCGGTCCAGAGGAATAAAGCATCCATCTTAAAGATGGATGCAAATAGGTGGTCAATCTAAAAACAATTGTAATTAATGGTCCAAATATTTTTTTAATATAATTATTATTTCTTGTTTTCAAAATTTAATTATTTTTTCATATTCATGACCTCCATGTTAAAGATTAGATATTCTCTAAAACTTAGGCTCAGATTATATTTAAAATATATATATATTGCCAAGCCCGCATTTGTACATGTGCGGGCTTTGCCGCAAGCTAACCGCCTCTTTCATTTAATACTTCCCTCACGACCCATTCTCCGTAATTACTAAATAGAACTCCTTAGTAACCAATGGCCTTTCTGCTCAACCGCCTAACTACTCGTGCATGACTTTTTAGTTTCTAAAGTATACTTATTTGTTAGGATTAGGGCAAGTGGGGAATTCGTTAGGGGCACTGTCGGACTAGTGAGGGATATAGTCTAATCAAAATATGTATTAAATCAGTTAGATAATATTTTATAATATATATATATATGTAAATTAATTAGATTAATTATTTAAAACATTTAAAACGGAAGAAGTATAGAAATAGACCATTGATTTATGGTACAAGAAAGTCATGATCACTTATATGTCGAATTTTAAATTTGTAATGGCAAGTGTGTCATTGTCTAGATTTGAAGTTAAAATAAAATAAAAATAAAAATGGTGACATTTATGATATAATCCAAGCAATTTATTTGGTATTTAATGGTTAAGAGTAATTGTGACCTCTTTATAATAATAGTAGTCAGTTTCGTACTATACAATCCATCAAATATATAAAAAAAACTTATTAATTTTGTTCAATTGGTTGAAGCGGTAAGAAATGGATGGTCCGGACAAAAAACTTGGTCAAACACTAACTTCTAAGCTTTTTTCTTAAACCAAGGTTTTACTTTAGGAAAATCATTTCATGTGGGCTAGACCGCATTTCTACATATGTGGTCCACAGGTATAAAACATATATCTTAAAAATGGATACAAATACGTGGCCTATTTAAAAAGAATTGAAAGTTCAAATGTTTTTTTAATAGAATTATTAGTTCTAATTTTTTAAAATTTATTTATTTATTCATATTCATGATCTTCATATTAAAAATTACATGTCCTTAAAAATTAAGTCCAAAAATCCAGCTCAAAAATAGATTTTTAATAGGTGACTTATTCCTACTTGGACTCATAAAAACCAGGTCCTTTACTTTTTAAAAGATGGGCCAAGACATTGGTCAACTAAATTATTTATTTATTAAATGTATCTGAAAGTTTAAATGAATAAGAAAATCCTAAATAGTCGCAACAACAAATTGATTAATTGTACTAAATAATTTGAATGCGTTGCAATTTATGGATGCGGAGCACTAACTTCGACATTTTTGTTTAGCAAACCAGGTTTTACTTTAAAGAATAGGCCAAGACAAATTGGTCAACTAATTTATTTTTTTATTAAATGTACTTAATAGTTTAAATAAAAAAAAAATTGTCTCATGCGGGGGCTGGACCACATTTCTACGTCTGAGGTCCAAAACGTGTAAAGATGGATGCAAGTAGGTGTTTCATCTAAAAACAATAAAAACTAACAGTCCAAATGTTTTCTTATTAAAATTATTATTTTTAGTTTTTAAAATTTATTTATTTTTTCATAATCTTGATCTCCATGTTAGAGATACGCGTCTTTAAAAATTAAGTCTTAAAATCCATCTCAAAAATAGATTAATTAAGAGGCCCACATTTCTACATATGCGGGCTTGGCCACATAGAAACTAGGTTCTTCAATAAATAAGAAAATCCTAAAGAGTCACAACACAAATTGATTAATTGTACTAAATGAGTTGAAGGGGCACAATTTATGGATGAGATTTTTATATGGCTTAGGTTTTATGAAAACAAAATAAAGCCTCACCTCAAGTCCTCGTCCTTGGAAGCACTTTCAGCCAAGGAAATCTCCATGATAGCTCTAAAATTAATTTCCAATACCAACAATAAATTTTAAAATTAAAAAAAATGATACCAATCTTACGGATATGTGAACACTTATTTTTTGGGCTAAATGAATTGTCTAGATAATTTTACAATATACACTATTTTTAGAGGTTGAAATCCTAATTTTTTTCGACAATCATAATGTTCAACTCGAGATGATCCATGTAAAGGTTTTCCAATACTTGACTTATAATTTTGGATGAGTTTATGAGTTGAGGCTTTACTTCCTTTAATACAGCTGCAACTCTATCAAATCATTTTCTTTCATAAAATTTAGATAAAGTTTAGAATTTTTTTAAAAATAATCCTTAAAAGACACTAAAGTAAAGTCAGAAAGACTGTAGAAAAGAATAAGAAAGGAAATTGAAAAAGAATGAGTCAACTAGTGAGAGAGAAGAGGAAAAA